GCCACTCGGGCCACACTGGCGCCAGTGGACACTTGTGGAGCGATTGAATTGGATACTTGCATACCCCAAACGTCACACTGGCGCCAGTGTGGCCCGAGTGGCAGTGCGCAAATACTTCTAACAGAAGATACTGCTGAATGAGATTGATCAAGACTCTTCGGATCTGGTGTGCCTTTCCTGCAGCACTATGCCTGAGAACTTGATGATGGCAGAAGCGTTCTCTGGCCCCCTTCCACCTTATCGTTCCAGGTTCGGAAGCGGCACCTAAGTACAAAACCCATTATTGTGGATTTAGCGGGATCTTTATGCAGCTCTAGGACCACGACAGGCTCATGCCTTTCCTACTTAACTACTCCGTTCATTGGGCAGGTTTCGTCCAACCCGTAACTTTTCCCTCGTCTTACTCTTATCAATTGTCCTTCGGTGCCCAACTCATGGGAACGCCTTAATTTCTGGATTTCCCGCATTTCTACCACCCCTCCCTTTCTTTCCCTGAAATATCTGGCTAACCCAGCGCGCTAACCCGAGTGGCAATATACCTCGCTAACCCCGGCACCTTATGCAACTACATATTCAACGTTCGGTTTCGCTACGAGAATTTTCCTGCCCCTGCTAGGATCTTTAGAGAAGTTCGCCAACGAGAAATCGTACGGAGACGTTGGCTGCGAGAAAAATGACACCCGCGAAGATCGCTACTAAGATCAACAGGTCTAGTTTGTGCTTCACAAACCAGGACATGCTCAGATCGGGCGTCCGCAGCTGGTGCTCGGTGCCCAGCTCCGCGACGAGCTCCACAAAATCTGCGCGCGCGTAAACGAAAGACACCCGTGCTGTCAAAAGACGATCTCGCCACACGCGCTCGCTATATGGTTACTTTTCTTTTGCCCGTGCCGAGCGTATCAAAGGGATGAGGCAGAGTGCAGGTACAGGGCATTCACAAGAGACTGTGGCCCTTAACGAGGGGTGGTGACGGGCTGCTTATGGGCTGGTTAGAAAGTGGTTCAATGTCCCAGAAGACTATAACCAAAATTGTGCGGTATTACCAGCCCCGAACAAGGTTATAGCCCGGTTATCCGTCCACTAACCTGAGCTCGAGTGCAATAACAGCCTGGTTAGCAGCCAAAATTGCCTGTGATTGTTAATGCACTTCGCATGGACATGTTCTTGCAGCCACTTTTCAACAACTCGAAACCTACTGGAACCGTAGAACCGACACTGCAAATCAAAGTTTGCCGCAGAACCGAACTATGCCACGATCACCGCTGCTAGACAACCTGCATGCAATCTCCTTGTAAGCGATTCGGAGGCCGAATCAAGGCAGAATTTTTCTCCATACCTGCGGCTCTCGGCGCGCCCCCCAGGAAGCGAAAAATGCGCGCGATCTTGCGCGCTTTCGCCTGGTAGGCGTTCTCCGTAGTTGGGTCTCGCGCGGTTACCGCGCGCACTGCGGCAGAAAGGTCGGCCGGCATCGCGCGCAGTGGGTCCAGAACAGGGAAGCCTGCGTGCGCCAGTCTTTGCGCGACGTCGTATTCCTCTGCAGAGACAAGATCGTGCACGGATTGGATCAAAGTCCGTTTCTTCTCGGAGCCCGCTTGAGTTGCGCCCTTGCATTGAGCGAGTAGACAGAAATGGAAGGTCTGAGGGCGCAGTATCAAGCACTTGAAGAATCGTCTGACCCCTAGTTACCAAGGCCCTTCCAACACGTCCGATAGTCCCACCGTGAAAAGGCCAAGAATCACTCTCCAGCGGGTTTAAAGATACACTTTGGTTCTTTAATTAGTGTCTGAAAGGAAGATAGATCTTCGAACCAGTTGAGGTCTAAAACATAATAGTTAGCAGATACGATCACTCGGGCTTTATCAAAGCTATGAACGGGCCACTTTTGAGAATCGAGTATTCTTGTCTAGGCTTTTCATTGGAGAAGGAAAGCACACCTGCTAAGTAGAAAGAAGTCCGCTCAACAACCAAGACCGTGCTGCCGGTAAAACCACGGATTCGACCAAGAGCTTCCGTTCTTATAGCGGCAAATCTCAAACTCTCAATCAGAGCCGCGACTGGCCGCTTCTCAAAGATCGTTCAGTGAAGCTCAATCTTCGAAGCGGATGCGAAGTGTCCCCACAGGCAGAAAACGAAAACGTCTGCCGCAGCGCTGCATCACCCGAGCAACGACTTTTCTGCTCGCCCTCACCGTGCGTCATCGGTAAACCAATCACAGGAACCCCATACGCCAAAGCTTCTTGCATCCAACACAGGCGAGGGTCAGCCTTTCCAAATGTCAAACACAGCCGATCTAGATCCCTGACTTTCAGCTCCCTTTCGTTCCCACAAGCTGCTCCGTAGATATTCTAACGTACTATAAGGATTGATAGCCCGCTTCTCAAAGAAACAAGTCAGCTTCTTAAAGGTCCGGTCTTCAAAAGTCAGCCCTCTCTGCGTTTTTAAGATCTACGTACAGCAGAGGGGACATGTCCTCCACGTCTAAGGTGCCCAACAAAACTTGAGAAGAGCGGATCCGGCCCCGGATGATTGTGACGGGCACCAACACTTAGGGACCAGAAACTCGAAGCCGCACAAAACCTTCGAGCAAATTTTCCGCCTACCGCTGCGTGCTTAGATGTTCCTTGGGTCCCCTGATCTGGATTCGTCTGGATGCGGGGAACTTGTAGATAACAGTCTGTCAAGTGGCTGAACGCTTTACAAGCAAACCGTGACGCAAGCCACGCGTCGAACCTCGAAAGAGCACTCTAGCGAGAAAGCGACTGCAACATCCTGTGGAATCGGCTGCTTAAATTGCAGTGGTCTGATTAACACTTTCAGCACTTCGTGAGAGAAAGTTTACCTGCGCTCCATCTCCCCCGCAGTGCGTAATCATCGCGGCCACGGCCGGGTGCCGTAAAACCTCCCGCTGCGGAATGGACTTCTCCAACCAGAAGTTGACGGGGACCTCGAAGGGCGCGAGCGCACTGTACGCGGTTTCCGTAACTACCCACAGAACCTCCATGGCTAAATCCTGGAGCCCACCAATGATTACCACGACCATGTCGTGTGTGAGGGGGTTATCGGTGCCAAGGTTAACTACGACAACCGAACCCGTTTTACGTTGGACGCTAGCCACGCCGCCAACGGGCGAGACATCTCCTGTGCGAATCGGCTCAAGAGCGGGCCGGTGTAAAACGCCGTGGGAGGGAGGGGAACAGGGAAGTCGAACCCGGGGCCTCCGGTTATGATAGCGGCGCTGCCGTCATATTGGATGTAGCCACGTGGCATCACGGGGAGCTTGACACGTTTCTCTCTGAGGATCGACTCCAGCTTGCCCCTCAAAACAAACGGCTCGACGTATAGGGCGTCCCCCAGCCTGACGTACTCGTTCCATAGCCGCTGCCAAAAGCTCATCCCGATGGAAACGTTGGTTCCCATTGCAAGAAACGGCCAGGAGGGGGAGATGACGAAGTTGCGCCACATGTGGATGTAAACAGGAAGGATACCGTATTTGTTTTCCGCGCAGCTGCCGGTTACTTGGAACGCATGGTCGAGAACCATCATTTGCAGTGACATTTTTACCCGACCCACTTCCGGTGCCAGCTGTCTGCACCGTCTGATTGGCCAAGAACTTGTCGAGCCCGATCCAAGTTGCCACGTCCCCCTCCATGTAAGCCAGAAACCGGGAGCATTCGCTGAACTCAGCTTTTACCCCTAAGGTTTGGTCGTCCGTCTTGCTCTGAGGCCAGTACCCGAGCGAGTGGAAAGGAATCCCCGCGTGATTGAGTTCTTTGAGGAAGAAGTCTTCCCGGCCCTTGTGCACCAGCCCCAGGAACGTGACGTCATGGCCCCGCCCCTTGAGCTCGGAGAGGCAATGGCAACGAGCGGGGTGAAGTGGCCTGGACAGAGACCGGGGGAAAGTAAAGTTCGCTCTTGATTGAGTACGGCTGTAGTAAGTGAGAGGTCCCTGATTCAGCAAGCTTTTGCGTTGGCGATCTTGGAATCAGATCGACAAAGTAACCTCGTAGATTTTCTAGATCAGCAATGAACCGAATATACCAGTTCAGCTTTGACATTATGTAGTGCACTCTGTGGTCGGAACCCCAAGAAACCGGTCTTGATTACGTCCTGATCCTTGATAGGAAGATGAGTTGCATATGAGCACCAAGTGCTACCAGACCCAGATCTCTAAAATTTTGGAAAGTTCAATATTAAAAGGCCAGCTAACGAAAGCAAGAAACTGCGACTGTCGACCAAACAAACGAAAAGATGGAGAGCACTTCAGAAACTGATCTACTTTAATGGCAAGAGCTTTGAATGCTGAGAGTTCCACCCATCGGTCCTGAGACTGGGCTGGTGAGAATGCTCAAAGCTAAAAGTTTCACTCGGAAGGTGGTCAGAATGCAGATTGTCAGAAACTTTTATTTGTTTATCTATTTCTTTATTCAGTTATTTATTTATTCGAAGTAATGAGGCAAGTTGCTCTGTTAACCTGTTTATATTTCAATTATGAGCAAGCTGGTAAAGGAGGCAAGTTGCTCTGTTGAGCCCCATACCCTGGGAACGTGCGAAGCTTTGAGCTGGGAAGGAATGGAGTGAGGTCTGACTTCGCCATACGAGTTCGCTTTTCCAAATCATGGAGATGATGGGACAGGTCACTAGCTTTCTGGGCAATGAGCTGCAGAATTAGGGTGCCAGATTCTGGCCAGACATCCAGCAGATGACATCAAGGTCCTCAACAATGCTGTCACTCAAAAGTGTCGTGGAAGAATTCATTGCCTCAAAGCCCTCGCAACCTGTGAGGCACAGAAACCATCGGCCGGGAGTCTGGGTCCGGACAGCAGAAAGCTGGCCCAAGGGCTCATAGCAAAGGCTCATATTGCGGCTCATGACTCCTCACACGTCCCTCCAGTGCTTCAGATAATCTGACAGAGAGTGCCCGTTTGCCCAGCCAATAAAAAAGTCAAGCTCTCCACAAAAATTGGGCCTGCAAGACTTGTTTGAACATAGATTACCGAAAAGAGTTTAAGTGCTTTTTGCACTTTAGAACAAGGTGTATCAAAGCCTTCGTCACAATGCTGCTCACCAGAGGTAGGAGGTGACACGATCAAAACGCGGAAGCGCGCGGCTCTGCTGGCAGGCTCCATGACTTTCGCAGCTCAAGTTAGAGCCAACAAATCTGAACGGCAGCAGCCCTCATAGGTGGCATGGCCGCAGCTTGGGTATCTGTCGTTGCTCTAAGCTATCCGCAGTGTGGGTCGCCAGCATATTATATCAATTGTAAACAGCTGTTGATCACATATTTACCGTACTCTGATCAGGAAAAGACAGCTGGCTCTCGTTGCTTTTCGCTTGTCGATCTTAGAGAGAAAGTTGAACCGTTTGGCAGATTGGCGGGGACGCAAAGGAGGACGGCGCGTCGAGTCGTGACTTAAGTTGGGTAATACCTAGCCCGATCCTCCACTGATATGATTAGGTACGACTGTGAATCAACAGCTTGACAACACCATCTCAAGTACCTCCTGAATCAATCTTCTCGTCCGCCTCTTTGGCGGTGTAGGTAGCTATTCTGACTTCAAGGCCACCCATAGCTAATTCCTATTATACAAGGAACGGAGATACTAGGTAGGTGCAAAACCCTAGGGAATTATTGGGCGCTTATGAAATCAGCTCGTCCACACTGGTCATGACATGCATGATGCATTAATTGGGCCCGACGCAGTGAAGCAGTGAATGTGCGCGTGCGCAGCGCGGCCGGGTAGGTGTTTCTGCATAGATATTAGAGACTACGGGGCCGGCCGGGCAGGGCCGACCGGGACTTTTAAGATGCTCAACCCGCCGGGGTGCCGGACCGAAAGGTTTATCAAACGCATGATGGTTCACTTCGTATTAACTTTTAAAGACGGCGCTGGGGTTGAGGGCGTCCACGTGGCTATCGCAGCGATCCTAATGCGGCAAAAGTCCCGGTCAACGTCGCCGCAGCGATGACGTCATAAAACTTCGGGGCGACCGAGACTGCGGTATCCTGGGGTTTCCAGTCGCTAATTTTAGATGCGTCTGAACGCGTGCACACCCGGGTGCATAGCGCATAAAACAACAGAACATCGTTCAAGTTCGAAGTACCCAAACGCATGATCGAAGTTGAGCCTTGAGACCTTTGGCCCGGTTGCAGCGGCCCCGGCAGCCCGGCTCTCCTTTCTAGGAAATTCCCCGGCCCTCGTCTTGGCCGGCCCGGTGTGCCTGGGGCTAAAATCATTGATGATTGGCCCGGGGGATGTAACGTCACGACTCACAAGTCACTACCGTGTCAACCCACCGTACGCGCCTTCCGCCACCCGCGAAATGATGGACCGGGGTCCGGGCCCGAGGCGGCCTGCTTGTAGCTGGAGAAACTCGCTATGGGCTGCGTCGCATGCGACCGCTACAATTACATTTCCGCCAGATTGTGGTGGGTTGACTTCCGGTCGGGCTGTACGAATGCGGTACGGACGGATCGTTGAGAAGGTACGACTTTCGACGGTGCGTTCGATAATCTGCCGGTGAGTCGTCAGATTTAATTCGAAAATAAAGATTTTAATCGCGAAGAAAAAGGTGGATACTCACCGATATGGTACCGGGTACTCCAGTCTGCAGATTCAGGCATTAGGAGTCCTCGGTTTGGAATGTCGGAACCGCCAGATTCTAGGAGGACCCCCAAACCGCCAGCCACATTCTGGCGGTTTTGATGGTCCGATCGCGCGATCGAATTGTACTTTCCAAATTTTGTCCGGCTGGCGGTGGCATCCGACGAGGGTTTGGTCTCAGGACCGCCACATTGTCGCGGAAACAGAAATGTAGCGGTCGCATGTATCCCCGGTGTTCTTCGATTGATCATCGTTCCCGGTACATCTCATTCGCATGACCGGAGGAGCCGGGAAGCCGTCCTCAATAATTACGTTGATGTCATCACTAACCAAAACGTTGCCGTTGCGATTCGGTGAATAATTCAGTCGGGAAGTGGGATTCGAGCGTCGAACTCTCGAATTGTCAGAGCTACCTAGGTTTGTCCTGCGGTTTAGGGTGGGAAAGGGTGTTTTAGGACTGGAAATGTGAGTTTGGGTAAATTTGTGAGCTTATGTATTCTGACGCTCAACTAATTCCTGGATTCGACCGTCATCCTCGGGATCCCCCTTGTCACTTGGCCGACTTTTCCGCCCGGCCATTTAATTTCGGCCCGTACAGCACGACCTTTTCAAGCCCTGCTCACTGGCTTGTTGCCCTCCCTGGAACAGTGAATGAAACAAATGATCAGCTTCATCTACAATCAGGTGTACCTGCAATGGTAGCGGCTTGTCTGACTTGTCAGCTTGTACCGTATTACAAGTAGTTGTCGATGTAAGAATGGAATGGCGGCACCAGAGCGTATAAGTCTGATCCGCTCTGCTTCCAGGGACAGCGAGGTAATTTCAGAATTGATTGGGCTGCAACTTGTGGGACAACTAAAGAAAATGTGCTCCAATATCAAGAAGCCAGCAGATGGATTTGAAATCTGCGCCAATTGAGCGGCGTTGGGTCATGAAGTTACCAAAGAGGAGGAGCTCATTCTTTCTCTTCACGTTGACGGAGGTCAGCTGGGTGATTATCTGCATGCAGGCCTGTGGCAGCTTCCCGAGGTAAGCAATGACCACTACAGTTGAAGATTGGTTCGTTCTGAGATTTAGAGATCAAGTTGTTGTGTTGTAAGGGGTTGCTGTCAACATTCGTTCTCTGTGCTTGCATGTTAGTTTTCTGGCTTCCATACATGTCACATGAAAGGATTATTCACAGCTTGTAAAGAAGACGTCACTACCAGGTCCAAGTCTTCATGCCTTTTTTCATTACCAAGTGCTGGACTGGAGCTTGCCTGGCATCGTAAGCTCACCAGTGCCATTCACCTGGAGCTCAATTGGATTTCATTGCCACATCGTTTAGCTCCATCTTGCAGACAGGAGCACGATCAGAATGGGAGGCGCTTGAGAACGACGTGCACTGGGCACACTTTGAACAAGACTCGCTGAGACGTACCCTTATTTGTCTTGCAGAATTAGGGACTCTAAAATCCTGGGAGGAGGCCCCTCTCCTTGCATGGGTTAGGAAAGGCCCCGCGCATTGTTAGCTGGGGGGTTGCCTGGGGGTTGACGTTTTCGGACGTGTATAACGGGGCATCAGCACTCGCAGTGGAGGACCGTCCGCACTTTGACTTGATCCAGTCAGCTGATGACGTTGCACCTGGTCAAAAGGGACTCTCGAAAGCGAAGCCCTAGATCCGCAGAAATTGAGAAGCCGGATTCTGGAACCTCAAGCCGCCGCATTGTCAAATTCAGCTGCAAGTATGAACCGCCTCCTTCCTATACTGGCAACTACCCCCCCTGAGAAGCACCTTTCTGACTGGGCTTCAAATGTGGAGTCAAGGATTGCTTGAAAGTGGGCCCCCAAAGGGTTGGTAAAACATCCAAAGAGACTTCTCCAGGGGACTAGGAGCTCCTAATCAGCTGGCCAGTGGTAGCAAGCAAAGAGCACTAAGTTCTGTGCTGCATGCAACCTCTGGGCGGTTTGCCGGCATCGCCAACAGTGAAGCGTCTCAGCTTCGATGGTTCTGAGTGGCGATCCGACTGCGGAGAAAACGATATGGACGGGGCAAGCAACCAGACTCTGGGGGGATCCCCCAAACAGGGTTCCCAGTCGGTCCCCACTCCAGCAGCCGAAACTCAGGCGGAGGTTGCGCTTGTGATAGGGCGCATGTATGCGCTCTTAGATGAGCAGGCGAGAGAAATCGAGGGTGGGAGTGGGGGCTCAGGTGACATAAGCTATCGCACGGTGCTCCGACTACGGCAGCAGCACGCGAAGCTGCGCGAGGCCGCGGCGGTTTTGCAGAGGGTAACTCGGGCGGGGAGGCCGGGGCCGGGAAACGGGTTGGAGCCCCGGGCAAATAGAGCGGAGTCCGGGGGAACCTCAATGGAGCCCGGGGGGAGACGAGATGGAGGCCGGGGAAAACGGGAGGGAGCCCCGGGGAAACCACACGGAGCCTGGGGATCCGAGATGGAGCCCGGGGGGAGCCGAGATGGAGGCCGGGGGAACCGAGAGGGAGCCTGGGGGAAACCGCATGGAGCCCGGGGATCCGAGATGGAGCGTCGGAGAAAGGGTATGGAGCCCGGCCGAAAACGAGATGGGGCGTGGGGGAAATCTAATGGAGCTCGCGGGAAATGGGATGGAGCCCGGGGATCCGAGACGGCGTTTGGGAGACAGGGGATGGAGCTCGGAGAATCGAGATAGGAGGCTGGGGGAAACGGGGTACAGTCTAGGGGGCGCGGTAAACAGCCAACGGGAAACGAAGAGTTGCCCGGGGGAGAAGGAGCGGGTTGCTGTTGGGCCAGCTCATGCACCGTCACTGAGCGAAGGGGCCTTGGCTGATTTAGCAGTGGGTTTCGAGGGCCTCGATCCAACGGCCGGCTTTCGTCGTGAAGAAAATTCGATGGTGGGTGGGCAATTGCGGTCGCATCGGGATCAGCAGATCTGGGGAGCAGAAGCGCAGGGGATTGAGGCTGAAGACCGCCCTTTTGCGACATCCTTGCGGTCGCTCCGGCGGAAGCCCGTAAACCAGATGACGGTCGACGACTTCCCGGAGCTGATGGACTTGTTCCGCCGGAACAGCCCTGTCATGCAGCAACTTCCGGCGGATTCCGTTCCTCGAGTCCCTGGCTTCACGCACGTGCACAACGCGGCGCAATCCGGAGCCGGGAACTCTCCCGCCCCTAGTTCGCTCGCCAGCGATGGTGGAAGCGGTGTGAAACGGCCCCACTCCCTGGATGCCAATCCGTCAGCGTCTCTGGACTCCGCTCGGACTCGGAAGCGGGGAGCACCCGATCCGTCGCAGACGCCAGTCGGTGTGTCAGAAGCAAACGGGGCGGAAGCGGCGACCCTCGCACCCCTTTCCGGCGGAACTCCGTCGCCGTTGCTGGACGGTGGCCTTGACACTAGCGCACCGGAAAGCTCTTCCGGAACGGTCTGCTTGAGTTCCCTTTCCTTGTCCTCGTCCCCTTGTCCTCCGGGAAACGAGGCTTTCCCACGGCGCCGCCAGATTGATCTCAACCGTGCGCCCGATTGAATCAGTCTAGGAGGAGTATGCTTGTGTCTGTAGCAACCTCGCAGATAAGGTCACTTGCATCAGCAGGTAATGATATGCCAGGCCCACTCCAAAGTAAAACTGTACGTATATAATGATTGATTATCCCGATAAGCAGTAATGCAAAGGGCACTTGACTAGTTCTTGGGGGCAAAAGTAGGCTTTCTCAGAGGACCTTTTAGTAGAACCGTCACCCGCGTTCCATGTGTCGCTCGTCAGCTGGAGGGTGCGGACCAGTAGTATTATATAAGGTATATGCGCACAGGCAGGAAGTGTTTAGTGGAGTTTAGACGCGTGCTGTCGCTTCTGTGGCAAAGGGAAAAGCCGCCTTCTACAAAGCCGCCTGCCGCGGTCAGTTAGGCGCCTCGCATTGCCAGGTAGCCTTCCCAAGGTGGCGTGTGCGAGCGGTCATTTAACGACATGCACACACACGACCAGTTAGTGCATATGGTGCGAGCCGGTCACTTAAGCTCAAGACACGATTACATGGTAGCATTTGAGCTAGAGGCAAAGATCAATCTAGAGGCACTGGTACTAATCAGCATTACTGAATCTGCGTCCTTTCTCAGTTCTCATGCATGAAGTTAGCCCTAGAATAACATCGATCATGCAGTAGCCTCTTCATGGCTGTACGCGTAATTTCGGATGATTGAATCAACGTTGCCTGGTGATCCGCAGGAGTATTATTCAGTCCTAACTTACCAGTACATGTGATCCGTACAAGTCTTACTTCGAATCTTTGTTCGTGAACATATGCTAGCATCATTGCCATGCACTGTCATATCTTCTTGATATCCAAGGATGGTCATGACTGCCTGCATGCAACCTGGCTGTCAACCTGGCTCTCGGCAAGCTGAGTCCATGCCAGCATTTCAAGTTTGGATCGAGTGATTTCTATTGGCAAAACTCTCACTCTTGATCATCCAGTGTACTCGGTACATTCCAGTTTATCCATAGTTTAGAACTTTTGACTGGTCAGTGTATTCAAAAGATTGAGTAGGGTACTTTTGTTCGCTGATCAACCAACAGAGTGCAATTGTCATGTGTCAGCAAGAATCTAATTGGATCAGAAGCTTGCACTGCTTTGCTGCTGGAAGAGAATGTGAATCTGGTTGCTGGCAACACGCTTGCCTACGGACGATCGCTTAATTAGAGAAGTGCTCCTGCTTGTATTCTGCCGCTCCAGACGGAAGACTTGTCCAAAGCCAAAGCGTCACTGATCTTTCTTTGATACTTCAATGACGAAGGCTGTTGAGATGCAAAGCTTCTGTGTTTTTTGCAGGAGGACGTTCAGCTGATGAAGGACACGGGACTGGAGTGCTACCGCTTCTCCATCTCGAGTTCGATTCTGCCGAAGGGACGCGGGGACGTGAATGCCGAAGGGGTGGCATTCTACGATCAGCTGATCGACGAGCTGCTGCGTCAAGGTGAGACATATATCGCCTTTGGCTTTGACTTCTGTTGTTGATGGATAGAACGGTCAGCTTGGCACATATATTTGACCTCAAATAGAAGTGTAATGACAGCATCATTGCCAACGAATTCCGGGTGTAGCGAAAGGTTCTGCCTCGCCAGCTTTGACGAACTTTGTGGGTCTCTTGCTTGGCTGAGAAGAGTTCCGTCCGCAAGGAAATTTAATGCCCCATCGCTATCCCGTTTGCCATCCCTTGAGCGAGACTTGGTGAGATCATGTTGTAAGCGCGCTTCATCAGACATTAAAGTCGTTTGGGCTCCCCCGTATGAATTTCATGTGAACTGTAACAAGAATTCAATACTCAGAAAAAGGTAACGCCCCATTGCCATCCCGTTTGCCATCCCTGGTCTCCGATCAACAAGTTGAGTTCCAATATATATGTCTATCCAGTGTTAGTGTCTTATGGGGTTCGTAATACCTAACCACGGATCTAATCCAGCTGAGAATGGTTAAGTCCTGTATTGTGTCTGAAAGCGATTCAGTCAAGAGCGTCTTTAGGCACAAACATGTGCCAGATCCTTTGCCATCCCAATCAAACGCAGAATCCTGGCCCCCTAGTGGTCCCACTTACGTCACTATAAATCTGGACACGAATTAAGAGCGGCCGTTTTAAGAGCGGCGCCGGTCTTAAACATTGTCCGCTTTCAGACCGGCGGCGCTCTTAAAACAGCATTGCTTTAAGGGCGCCGTCGCTCTAAATGCACATGCTAAAATTAAGGACGATCTTGGTTGAAATATCCGGTTTTCCAGTACGAAACATACTGAAAACGCGCAGATCAAGAGCGCTAGAAACCTTAAACCAAGATCCGGTGTTATTAAGTGCGCTACCGTTGTCCTACCTAGCGGGTTACAGTTCGATCTACTGTTGGGTGCGTCTACAATAGTCTCTTGTGCTTCTAGTCACAGCCAAGCATTTACACGAAAAGGGGCCTACAGCTAGCGCGCTCATAAGCTGCGTAAATTGCTACCGTACTCATACGTACACTCTTCACTGCGTCCTTGTGCGTTGACCTCGCCTCAACTTCTTAACACATGCCTTGCTCTTCTGAGGACAAAGTGCTCTGCCTTCTGATCCTTGTTGATGCTCAGGTCCCACACCTCGCGATCCGCATCCGTCAGTGTACCGAACTGCAGAATGAGAAGTTGCGTTTGCGCTCCAGAGCAATCAATGCACGTTTGACGACCGATACATACGAAGTTTCGTGCACGCGCGGGAGGGCGCGACCTGGACGCATTTCTCCGTGAGTTCCGGTTTACCTCGGCTGCTCGCCCCGGGCCCTTTCAATACTGCGCGAACAAACATGACGTCAGCAGCTGCTTTACTGGGAGCTTGCCGTGTTCGCGCGCGCGCGAAAGGGGCGCACCCCAAAAAACCGTTTCGAGTCTGCTTCACGGCTGCCGGCTGCTGGCGCTTGCAGAACTGCGAGAACGAACATGACGTCAGCAAAGGTGAAAGTGTCAGAGTCGAGTCAGCCCGTGTTTGCACTAAGTCGGAAGGGCGCGGCCCAGGAAGACGTCCTGCTCCACAGCATCAGCCGCTCACGGCTGCAGAACTGCGCAAGCAAAGGTGACGTCAGCAAGAGCGAAATAACAACAGCGGCTTTTTTCGGACTGTTCTTTGTATGCGCTTGCGCAGGGGAAACGCGGCCCAGGCAGACGTTCTGCTCCACGGCCACCAATCGCTCGCGCTCGCAGAACTGCGCAAGCAAACAAGACGTCAGCAAGCGCGAACAAAACAAGAACGATACCGGTCGAGCATTCTCGAAGTGGCGCGCGCACGGGAGACGCGCGTCCAAGATATTCACGGCCACCGGCTGCTCCCTACAAACTCCACCGCGCAAGCGCACGTGACGTCAGCAAGCGCGGGTTTATCAGCGACAATTTCTGTAGAATCTCCAGGCAGCCAAACGTTGTTGTGAACCAGAATCGGCTGCCAACTTTTCTTAGCTGGATGCATGAGAATCTGGCGACTACGAGTAAAACAGCTGCAATTTGGCAGAAATGGTGACAGGCTGGTGACGGCAAAGTGGCAGGCAGCGTAAAGTGAACCGATTCTTCAGGTAGCGGCAAGAAAGAAATCTTAATGAACGTCAAACGAGCAAGCGAAAGGCAGTCTGGCGATGCAATCGACTGCGGGGAACAAGATGAGTTCTATATCTCTCGAGGCTGCTTTCAAGTAGCTCACGAGACCGGACTCTGGTGAATAGAAGCGTCGACTTACCTGCACTGTCACTTCTCGCCTTTCCGAGGCTTCCCTCGACCCGGCGCCTGAATCTTAACGTGTTTCTTGGGCCAATCGAATACGTCCGTCTTCACCGGCAGATCTCCTACCGTGAGTGTTGATTTGCCGGCAGTCGGCTCCGCTCCGGTGTAGCCCTTGGGCACCATCTGCCGGGCTTGTGTGACACAAAATATCAAGCAAGCTATCATGGTATCAAGCTCAAGCCAAATGACCTAAACCACGCCGACACGCTGCAGGGCACCGTAGACATCAATCTCAGTGTTCGGACGCTGCTTCCGGACACTCGAAAAGAACGGACGCTATTCCGTCACAAGATTGATTAGAGACTACCGCAGGCGCAGAACCAATGACAATCGCCGCAAGAACCCAATTTTCGACAATCGCACGCTTCACCTTTGTTGCAAAAGGCTTAAAAGGAGAAAAGACGTTGCTTCCAGAACTTTCCTAGGAAGATGCTGCAAGCACACAGAAGCCTTACTTACGACGACAGCCGCAAGTATTCTGAGTTTTAAATGGAGACAGCCCCGCTACCTTCAGATAATGGTGACCGAGCGGCAAATGACATCGACTGCTTACCACGTCTTTGGTTAGGAGCGTTACCATTGAGTTCCGGCTCGCCTTCGCTTGCTTGGCGGCGGAAGTAAGCTGCAATCATGACGACGAAAGGCGGGGTGGCCAAAAGGAGGGCGACTAGGTGGGGGAAACGAGGAAAGTAATAAAAGGGGCCAACAATCTCGGTGCGGTTTGGAGCGCAGGAAGTGGAGTAGCGGGAGCAAAGGTTGCCCCAGCTGGTGAGCGAGAACGCTGTGTTGTTACAAAGTCAGAACTGATCGTACGGCAATCGGAGTCAGCTCAAGGGAAACGCGTCTGCGGAGAGTCGGCAGGAGGACTTTCAGAAAGAGTGTGGCCTACTGGAAGTCTGCGGCCCAGGGGAAAGGGGCCGAATGCATCAGAACTGCTGTTCCGGGTGCATAAATATGGACTTGTCAGAAGTTTCCGCGGGCTTGCCACGGGCACGGAGACACTTTTTCAGCTCTACAGGTACCCTAAAATTGGTCTAAACTTCTTTGAACAACACAGTGTTCTCCTCAAATCTTCTCACAGCTGAAACGGACTTGATTGTACATAGCCGGATCCAGAATGCCCTAGTCCTCAGATCGCTTGGACACAAATATTGCTTCGGTTCGAGTTTGAACAGACAGCTCCTCTTTCTTGTGCAAAGACCCTGCTTGCGAGCAGTGGTACCCCGCAAGAACCTCCGGTGCACGGCCGCCGAAAGTCCGACCGGAGACGAAGCCCCCAAACGCAAACCCGCGACTCCCGTTCCCAAGCGGAGAGTGTCTCTTGATTCAGCTCCCAGCCCCAGTAACAACAGCGGCGGGGTCGCTTCGGAGCCCTAAGAGCCCCCTGGGAGCGCAATTTCGGCCCAGGGGGGTTCCGGAAAACGCTTCGTCGCTGTCGTCTGATCCCCCTATTGAGTAGGTTGTGGAGAAGAGAGGGAAGGTTTCCTCGTCGCTGGCAAGCGGATCTGACGTCAGCTCTGCCAAGTCTGAAGACGTCAGCACGAGCGTCCTGACAGGGTCCGAAGGAGAGGCTTCAAAGAGCATGGCATTGGGCGCTTGGAACGTTCTGGTCGGTGGTACCCGGAAGAGTAGCGCGCAGAAAGACGGTGCGCGAGTGCGGTTCCGGTGTGCCTTGGCTGAACGGAACAGCCGGGGCGGCACCGGGCGGAAGAAGCGGCGACCAATCCGTGGTCTTAATTAGGAGGAATCAAAGGGGTTCCAACCGTTCCTCGACGCCGTCTGCCTTTGCAATCGTCAGCAGAGCAGAATGGAGGAAGACGCAACACGCAAAGCGGGAAACGTGGGAGTAGCACGGAGCCTGTTCCGGCCTTCAGAAAACGGCGGAGCGGTCCAATCGGACGAGTCCGGCTCCGGCAAACTGCTGGAGTGGATTCAGGCGGACGGCCGGACGGCCGGAAGCACGGGTCCCGAACGAGTCCGCAAATGGCGGAAAGCGAAAGGGCCCGACCTTAGTGTGACGTCAGCCGAAGTTTCGACGTCGAGTGTACAAGCTAGAAAGTCGGAAAGGCGTCCGCAGGACCAAGCCCAGCGGGGCTCACGAGTGACGTCATGCTGACGCACGACGCGCTAACATCGGGACAGCACGCGGAGCGGCGACTCATGCAAGAGTGTACTGCCGTCATGGAGTGGCTGGGCTTCAGCTTCAAAGTGCTGGTAAGTGGAAGTTCGAAGCTTTGTTTGTCTCGCGTACGCGGCGCAAGACGTCGCTTTACTCGGCTTGAGTGTACAGCCGCCGATGAGATGTTAGGATTGCCAGAACCTCTCTCTATTGCAAGACGGGGCGGCATATCGCTCCAATCAATCTGACGGCGCTTAGGCTTTAGCTTGAAGTGTCAGAACCGCAGACTTTTGAAACCCGTTCAGCTTCCTAATGTTGTTGCCGACGTTCGGCGCTTCGTCGGGCGTTCCCTCGATTGCTGGCGTTTTTGCACGCCTTGCTGAGCTCGGACCTCGCGGCGCGCAACGGCGAGCCGTCCTGATCAAGTCTATATAATAATACCGATACCCTCGATCTGGATCTACATATCGAGAAGTGACCGGGGGATTGTGACGGGCGTACATGAACCCGGTGCTCTTCTGATCTTCATAAAAGCTGGTCAATGTCCCTGCTGAGTCAAGAAATGTTGAAGGCTCGAAGAAAGGCGCCGTCTACGTCACCATGTGAGCAACCAAGCTCATCTGCGGTTGCATGGACTGCATCAGAGCTCGCATGCAAAAGTAATAAATGTTGGACCACTAGGACTAGTGCGTTCGTCAAGTACAGCAATTAACTGCAATCTCAAGTGGTGCGTGTCGCAAGCTGCTTAGCTGCAAAGCTGCCGGAAAGCATATAACGGGGCCACGTGGCTCAAGCAGATCCGCGGAGAGACCATGGTGCAAGGAGATGGAGGCGGATCCGGCCATGCGGTTCTTTAACGACGCTATGACACATATAGAAGGATGCCGTTTGAACCTAGCTATGATCGATATTCGTTCAGTAATTTTACAAGGGTGTTTGTTCTAAAGAGTAAGACTATGAACGCTATCTCGTTGTGACTTGATCGACTTTGCTTCGTGACATCTGTGAATACTTGAAGACTCCACATCAGTTCTTCGTGCTCCGCAACCGTCTCGTGCACGTTGAAGCAACAATCCGTCAGCAGGTGCGGGAATGTCGTCCAAAGCTAGTGCGGCAATGCATCATGAATCATACGTGCGATTATTTGATCATATGCATATACCCCTTTGTGCAATGACTACGCGCGTAGTCCAAGGTATTCATATGCGTCGTTTTCACACGGGCTCTCGTTCCATGATGGATACTTCTCTTATAGCCCGTGCGAATCAAAGGCATGGGGCGGAGTGCGGGTACAGGGCATGATCGGGGCTTCTCACACTTCAGAGATATCAACCATGATGTCATCATAGTCGACAAGCAGCAACGCTAAAGTCGTGTTACGGCTTTAGCTGGTTATTTCACAAAAAGAGTGATCGAGGTCTTTGCCATGGCTGCCAGCAGCTACGCGTGCGAGTTTTTCTCTCAAGGACGGATGCGAAGCAAAGGGATCATCAAACACCAGTGTACTGTGGCCTGTATGAGCTTATTTCAGCGGGATTGCTGAGAACTTCCATACTCGCTGGGCGGTTATCGTAAATCGTTTGTTGAAATTCCTAGGCCAGCTATAAGCTTGTCAAACGACCGCTTGCAAAAGTAGCCTCAGATCTTCGGCACTGACAAGCGTGGGCAATTTGGCCCCCGCCATCTGCACGAAAGTTGACAGATTAGTGAATTGGACGTCGATTTGCCAACCCATTTAATCAGAGCCCGGGACACGACGCACAATCAGATTCTTTTCGTGATAAATCGAAATGCTTTACTTGGAAGTTCACTCATGTTGGATCTTCTTTTGAAAAGTCAGATCAAAATCCTGGCTAACCATGCCCCCGGAACTGGACCCTGAGACGGCATTTCAATGGTTAGGCATGTCTCACGGCACCTGAGAAACGCGACTCGGCTAAAATTGAGAAGGCTTTTTCATAATTAGTGTACGGTGTTTCTCAGGACGTCAAAAGGGCGAAGCTGGGCATCTCATGATCCGCTCGGCGCTTGAAAGTTTGCTGCTTTGTGTCGGGAGCGGGGCAGGCGAGACGTTTCGCTCAGAAGGTTTGTGAACGAGCCACGCAACGTGAGAACAATTTTGTCCGAACCAGGTCCAAAGAGGATTCAGATCAAAGTGCGGTTTGGACTCCGTTCGGATCCAACTCGGACTTCTTTCGGACTGAATCAGGCATGTGGTGCTGTTGCTTCGGACCTTATTCAGATCGTAGTTGGACTCCGTTTGGACTTGTTTCGGACCGATTCTCTGGTCCGAATTAGACATTTTTAGACATGAGTTCGGAGAGCCTTCAAGTGTTACAGCTGTGAGTTGTTTGGAAATCCTGAAAACGGGGACCCACCTTCAGTGCGCGGCGCGTGCGCTCCGTTGCGAAGCTGAGACCCGGCCTTGCAGCGAGACCCTGCAAGGAAAGTACCGAAAGGAAGTGAGCCCCGCACTAAACTCTGGCTTCAAAATGCGGGGCCTTGATCTGGTTCACTTCGCCTGGGAGAACGACCAAAGAGGGACTGTTGGGCTAATAACGAAACAGGACCTCGCAGCTTACCTGTGTCTTTAAGATGGACCCAAGGTGGCGGAAACTAGCCGGACTCAGGATGCTCTTGCATGGGAGAAAGACCGTGCTCGAGTTTCGTAACGTAGATCCTACCGCACGATCTTGGCTTGCAAACTTCGGAAGTGTAGCGACGATTCGACCAACAAGAGGATTCACGTGCAGCAAAGAGAAAGGCCGGTAACGTTCGTCCAGAAGCGGAGCCAGCGTTACGCCCCACCTCCAGCAGGGGAATGAGCGGCAGGAACTGGATGATCTTGCGGTCCGTTTTTGATGCCGTGCGGACGTCCGCAGCCCACTCGGCCACTGAAGGGATGGTCTCGAATGGAAGCCCGTTGCTGCGCATCGCCTGTAGGTATAAACGACGCTTATGAGCTGGACAAAGGAAACGCGGTTTGTGAAGGCAAGCAGTGGGCCTGTCTTACTAATGCAGATCTAACGCTGCCCCACTTGGACGGGGTGTCGTGCACAAAGCGGGTAGAGAACGACTGATGCGTGTCAGGATCCAGCAGCGCAATAAGCACCAACTTCTGATGGAATGTCAACGACGTTAATGAATTGCATTCAGTCAAACAAACCTCTGGACGGTACAGTATAAAATCAGGGACTTTTTGATTGGAATCAAGGGTTGTGGAACTCAGACCCTAGGCAAAAGGGCTCACCTCATAGATGTCGTCCCAGCTCTGGGGCGTGAACGGAATCAAGTGGTAGACGGGGAGCTCTTCCGGAACGACCCTGAGAGGAAACGAGTCGAACCTTCATCAAGAGGTCTTGACGCAGCCGTCATGTGCCATTTCCTTTTGTCAGTGGGTTCAGATAGGGACCCCCAAAGTCACTGTAACAGATCGCACCAGTCACTTCTTCAGCAAGGAAGAGAGCCTTGGATGTGCTAATGATTGCTCTCACCACAAGGTAACCCCCCTTCCACTTCAAAGCTTTTACCCGCTCACTAAACCACGAATCTTAATCCAGAGATCTACGCACTCCGCACGCGAACTCACCTTAATCACCCAACAACCCGACCGTCATCCAAATGCTTGTCGTGAGTGAATTTGCTCTTATTTGAACTAAGAGTTACCAGGGAGCTCTCACCGAGTGTTGCGAAGGCAAAGGGTAGCCCAAGTCGCTGCAATGTAATCAACGGGGATGCCCATCCATGGATTCGGTCCCAGACGAGGAAGCTGCAAAAAACGTACGCTTGTTGAGCCTTGTTTTGAAGATGCGTCAGTTGTTTGCACAAGAGATGAGCTTTTTCGACCATCATTTCTCAAGCGATTGCTCGGTCAAATATTCCTGGCTTAAACTTCACCTGAGGAGAGGAACAGAAGCAAAAGTTCCCCCCCCAAATCTTGGACTCGGAGCGCGCGAACATCGAAAGAATTTTCCCTGACCTTCACTAGAAGAAGAGAAACTCGGTAGGATGCAGAATAAGTGCAGCCGGGACACTCGAGCTCACAGAAGGTTAGTATGTGAGCACATGTTTTATTCACTAAACGCTCCACGGCGGATCAACTTCCTCCTCGGCCCTACACACTTAGCCCAGGACAAAAGGCATGAATTTTGACGGTCAGCACAAGACGACCCAGATAAGTCACAACCATCGAACCCAGCCCAACTTTTTGAACGTTTTCGCGGCCCGAATCAGCCACGTGAACATGTTATCGGCGGCGCCCAGCCCGGCGTTTTCGGTGGAACCCACCACTAACCCGATCCGGTAAATGAAAACTGGGACGCTGGTGCCCTGCGCCGCGGCCGCAAGAGCCAGCTCCGCTTTCCGCTGCACGAACAATTCGTCAAGCTCCATCACGTCCGGTTGCACCTTGTATTCGCGGTAACAGCGGGCGATCGTTCCCGGTCACCACTTCTGCAGCTTTAGTCCACCTCTATCTCAATCTCGAAGTCTTCAAGCGGGCACCTAAAACCCCGAACAAATCGAAGCCGCACTAGAAATCAAGACATCAGCGAGGCGACAAAACGTGAGCCGCAACAAGAACACGACCTGAGTGAGAATCGGCCCATCATGCGACGTCTGCTAAGTCCGAGCTGCAGAGGGGTTTGAATGTCTCGGCGTCAACTTTACCAGTCACGTGATGTCATACTTCCCGAGCGTGTTTACCTTGGTTAGCGCGTACCCCATCTGGTTAGCTCCGCGCCTCTCAACAAAGTCGACTGCCTCCGGTATCACCCCCGTTTCACCGTTTTTGTGAGCAGGGTCCATCAAGAAACTCACCGACACGCTGGGACGAAAAGCGGAAACTTAGGTACGCATTGCATGCCTTTTAAAACTCTGAAAGTTCAAGAGTGCCCTAACCGCAGTGTGCCTTCAGATAGGCGCCCGGGGGACGGGTGGGGTTGGTTTGGTAGTTAGGGTGGATTGGGGTTTGGAGCGCGTATTTTTCCAGTTGTAAATTTAAAGGACCGATGCACAATCTTGAAAAGGGGCGGGTACCGAGAATACATGGTCAGGTGCGCCAAGACAGAGACACAAGACTCTCAGCTTTCGTAGAGCTGCAAAGTCCGCAATGATTAGAGAAAGCATATACCCGAGTAACATTACGACACGAGCCGGAAGGAGATCTTACGAGCCTAAACTTGGCAAACGGAGAATCAATGATGCCTCGCGCAGAGGGAAATGTCAAAAGGATCAAGAGCAGCTGTTCACCTGGATGCGAAGTGGACGGGCTTTGGCGGTCCAGATCCTTGAAGGGCGAAGCGGACGACCTCTTGCACGCTGCAAACAGACGTTGGCCAGCTGTCACTCTCTGAAGACAATCCTGAGTACTGTCCAATCACCCAAAAGTGAAATTAGGTGCATTTTGGAACAGCCAAGTCATGGCGGCTTTGGCGTTACCCACGGTCGCGCTGGTGACCGTGCGATCGGCGAGATGCTCGATCCTTGTTGAAAGCTCCTCGAACCATCTATGGCTAAAAGACTGGGGCTGCCTTCAAAAGCATGCTTTGCGGCGCACCTTTTCACATTGGCCTCCGCGAGCTTCTCGTACTGGGCGGTCAGGTGCACGGCTGCCCCGCAGTGGATCACGGTGTGAACGCGCTCGCCCCAGAAGCGCCACTGGTCGGGAGTCATCCCCAGGAGCGGCTTCTGCAGGTCGCCGGGCAGAACGACCACCCGGGCGCTGTCGAACCTGGAGGGAAGCAGAGAATCTCAATGGAAGCTAGGCGGCTCTCCGTCTTATCTCGGTAGAACCTGCCGGAATGATGTACTTTGAAAGCTCAGAGAATCTCCGCTTGATTCTTGCTAGATTTTGGGACTGCGAACCCAAGCTGAGAGAAATGGCGGCCGCAATAACATACTCGGGCAGCAGAACCAGGCGTAAAGCCAGCATGGTTGCTCCACAAACGGTTAAAGTGCATCCCTTTCAATTACCTATCTGCTGAACGGTTATTACACATATTTTCCAACGAAGTGAGGACGAAACGAAGGGGGGCAAACCTGCTCTCTGATCTTTGTTCTGGTCTCTGTTGTCAACATTCTAAGCTGGTTTGAGAGGGCCTCTAAAGACCGTGCACTGGCTTCTTCCGGAGACCCCAGCCCTTTCTACGGAACGTTTCCTCACCCGTTTCTAGACTCACTCCCCTTGCCCGTTCGCAGCAGGGCTTGCTGCAGCCGGGCGTGGCAGGCGGCGACCGACGGCCCGCGGACCAGGCACACCACGGTCGCCACTTCGTCGGCGGGGCGGCTCAGGAGATTCTGCAAATGGACAGGTTTGGGGTTCAGGTTTCTGAAGGATCGGAAGGAAATTACTTCATCTACAGTAGTTGAGAAGTACTTACTACCAGAGTAAGTCCGCCAAGAAGTTTTAGGGCCATAGTCCTAGGACTGTCTAGATACGATGTCCAGGGGATATTCTGTATTCTAGACAAGCAGACGGACTAGATGGTTCTGCTCTAACGCTTGATAAGGCGCTGAGCGCGCTTGCTCGCAAAAACAGTGATTTAATCAGGCGGAACGATCAATCTCCCTTCAGCGGTCGCCGTTTCTTGCAAGTGTGGGCGACACGTCTGCCGTGGTAACTGGCGTTTATGTCGCCCGCCAAACTCACCTTCAATACGTGCGAGCCAATGAATCCAGTAGCGCCCGTCAGAAGGAGAACAATTCCCTTGCCCTCCGGCGCAACACCGTTGGGGCCGTGGTTCAAAGTGGTACCGGAGACCTGCAAAAGCGAGGCTAGAAGCTGATAATTGTTTCTGTTTTTGGAAAAAAAGATAGACAGAAAACAATCAGTTCGAAAGAGTGAAAAGATATACAGAGTACAAAAATAAAAAAGTGCGATGCAAACGATATGCTCTAGTGATAGAAACAACTTTGCAATTCAAAATGGTTCAGAAACAACAGTCATCAACGGCGGGAAATCTACTACGGGAATGGAGAGAGCTCGCTCGGCTGTGGTGATTTCTCTCACCGCCCCGTTTGATCGTGGCGCATGCTCCGCCTCAGTTTGCAAGGCGGAGGCCGCCCACTTGGCGAGGGCGACCACATCAGGAACGTCCTCGTACAACATGGTCGCCGGAAAAGGGACGCCCACGTACTCAGCAATTGCCTGCACCGGAATGAGAGCGACACAAAAATCAAAGCGTGGGGGGTTCTTATTTGATTCAGTCTTTGCTAACAAGTGGAAGTTGATTGCACAACGAACAGAGAGCTTCGCAGCCGTTCCATTCAGCGCCGTAAGCACGAGACTCTTCTCACAGGTGGATTCTGCCATATCTCAGATCAAACAAGAGCCTACACTGGCTGAATGTGAAAGTATCTGTACGTGAGTAGACCGGACAAGCCTACCCAGTGACAGTTCTTAAACGCCTTGTAAGTTCTTCTGCAATCTTGGGCGCTTTCCGTGCCAACGACAAAAAGTGCCCGGGAGGACTTACCTGGGCCAGCTCGGTTGCTGTCAAACTGCTGAGGCCCATATCCAAAAGCCGGGGCGGATCACCGCCTGGCTGAGCGTCCAGTTCTTGGGCATCTAGCCCCAAGACCTGGGCGGCTGTCCGGCGGACGGTGTCCAAAACTTCTTCAAAATCCACAACCTTTTCCTGCAGATATCAGAACGAGACTTCGTTTGAGTCCCAAGCATCTCCACAAAGTGTTTTGAGGAACTCAGCAGCTTTAGAATTTTCAGTGAGAACGTCGTTTTCAGGATCTTTCAAATGGAGGCTGATCTGCTTCGACTAGGAAGTGCCTTGGGCATGCCGGCTTCTGCTGACTGTACTCAAAGGGGTCCTTCAAACAATACATGTAGACACATGCCCCCCGAGGATCCCAGCGTTATACAGAGCAACAATTCAAACACGGACTAGTATTGCTCAGCGGAAGAAGGTGTTTCAATAAAAGAAGACACCAGCTGGGCAATGCATGAGCAGCATTCAAGTGAAGCTTAACCATCGAAGATGGGAGCGCTGACCTTCGTTTGTACACCGTTCGACACCGGAGCGACAGATTTTTGTGGCGGCGCTTCCAGACCCGCGAACATAGCGGCCACGTGGCTCTTCAAGAGCTCGTTCGCTGGGCCACGTGCTACCTCGCCCTTGACCGTCCGGGGAATGGTGATCTGATCAAACAAGCAACAGGAGGCAACTCAGCGGAGCATCTTCATGACTCAGCGTAGAACTTACCTCTACACAGGTTTCATCTCGTCAAAGATCTACTTTGGGAAAAGTGCCGATAAAGAAAAACGATTTTCACAGAGTCGCCTCGCCCAGAGAAAAGGCTGGAAGAATCTAGCACATTGCCCAAACCAATGGCAGGGCAGTTTCTCTCTCCCTCTTGATCCACACGGCATATCTCGCCAGAGAAGCTTGGTTGCAGGAGCCTAGGACCTCGATCAGGGAACCGCCCCACCTCTTCGGAATCGTGTGGGGGAAGAACGCAAATGGCGCCTCGCGCGACCCACGAACTGGACGGCATCTTCTTGTTGATCGCCTGGACCAACGCCCACACCTGGCCTCGCACCCACTCCTGGAAACAAGGAAACGAAATAAGCTTGCGTTCAAAACCTCGAAGAAGGCGCGTCGCTTCGACTAGGAGCAGCCTCAAAGAGCTCTAAATGGACGATGAATGGCCCAGGATCCGAAAATCCGACGGTCGGGAAGTAAGTATGTTGCGAGCACTTCGGTCGCGGGGCGATGCAGGGGTTCGCCGCGGTATGCAGCTCTGTCGGAAGCTTTTCCTGTACTTCCCGAGAGCGCTTTGGAAAGAGTCGCTTGTAAAAGACGCCTGGTGCATGAGCAAACAGAGCGGAACCGGGACGTCGAGAAGCTCAGCCTTCAGTAAGGGAACTGGTTCGGGAGGAAGTGCTACTTCCACAGGGTTTTCGGTGGTTAACCTTGATGGGTAACGGGCTGGTTAGAAGCTGACAGTATGTGAACAAACCGGTAACATATGTTAAGCCCGCTTGTCTATCCGATAACAAGACCTAGTGCGGGTTACTCAACCTGTTCAGCACCAAAATGTCTCTGTGTTGGTTTGTAACGCCTCAAAAACGTCATCGAGCAGTCGGGACGGCAGCGCTTATCAGCCAGGATAGGACGGTGCTGACGTACCTCCTTTTCTTGACTCACTGACGTCAGCTGCTCCACAGCCGCCCAGTACGGTTTGACCACCAGCCCCGGCCGCGGGTAACCGCTGCCCACCGCGATCACATCCTGCAACACGTGTCGTCGTTTACGTCACTTCGACAAATCAAGCGACGGGAAGGAAAGGTAACTTAGGCACGGGCTATCTTCTCTGAAACCAGATATCTTGAGCGGAGCGAGGGATGCTCGCTCGAATGCTCTTATTTTGCCCGCAGAGGTCATGCTGATGTCACTAATTGTCAGATAAAAGGCTCAGGTTTTGGGAGCAGGGGGCAACTGCGGCAAGTTCCAGGCATTCTGCGAACCCCGAACGATCACTGGTTAACCAATTTCAACCTTTTGGCCTGGAAGGACTCTCAAACGCTGGCGGGTACGCATCAGCCCCGCAAAATACAGCTATTGCCAACCACCCAGTCTTAATTCTGTGGATTAGAAAGCCTAACCTTAATGAACGGCAGCTCCTGCACGGCCCCCTCGAAGGCTGTCGGGTTGGTTTTCTCCCCGGTCGTGTGAACCAGCAAGTTGTCCGCACGAATCACGGACTTGATCCAAGTGCGGCCGTCCGAGGAAGGGGGGTAGACCGTGAAGAGGTCGCCCGTTTGGTAGGGCACGTCGGGGGACGGGGCGAGAGGGCGGATCTGTAACAGGGTTTGAAGTCGTAATCAGAGGGTTACGGGTACGTTTACCGTAACGTTATTGGCTCAAAGAGAAGGAAGAAGTTGACTATGAGACAAGCCGGAGTTAAAGGGTATGTTTACGTTCAAAGGCATTAAATAGGTCGCTCGTTTGGTAGGGCTCGTCGGGGGGTCGGGACGAGAGAGCGAATCTGTAACAGGATTTGCGGAAACAGAGGTTTTAAATTTAGGAAAGACATCGGAGTCGGCAGAGTTCTGCTGGGCGTTGCGGAACCAACGCGTCGGTAATCCTTACTCACGAGCTCTGATCACTAAGAGTGCGTGACCAAAACCTGTGATGATGATACACGTTTTATTCTCTTGTGCATTCTTTCTCGTCGTGGAATCTTCCTCTGCTATGGGCGTGCACTGGAGAACCACACCAAGAGCAAAGGAAGGCACAAGTTTCTGAGCGCATGAGTGGACGTCTTGTCCCCCGTTCCTACTGTCATCTGCCCGGTTTGCCGATCCACCGACTGTAAGTACCCCTGCGCCATTCCCGGAAGTGTTGCCATCCCGCCGAGGATGACGTGGCCAGGCACGGGGCTCTCCACAAACCGAATGTGATCTGCCCACCGGGGTCCCGGCAATCTGAAGGCACTCCACGAAGGGCCCCCCCCGGGGAAGCCAAACGCCACAGAGCCAGTCTCCGTGCTCCCAAAAACAGTGGTCAGGCGGACGCCCCTGGAAAAGAAGAGAGTTCAGTAGTCGAAAAATGAACAGTTCGTGGAAAGGTCCTAAGGTCCGGGCACTTCGGGGAGACCACAATCTGGCAGTGCTGGCACGATCGCTCGGTTACGTATCAACTAGAAGGGGCCCATGTCAAACGCCAGGAGATTTGCTCGCGAAAGCATTTTTAAGACTTTGTCTGAGTATTCAAGACTTCCTGCTCTGGTGAGGTCTTCGACGCTTCAGACGGGATAAGTATGTGCCTTGTGAACAGGCCTTGTCGAAGTATGACGGCGTTGATAGCGGCGGCATCAGACGTCCGAATAGAGCGTGCAACACAGATTCGGCAGTAGCAACGACAAGGATAACCCTTCCTGACAGAACCCGGGGAAGGAGAACGTGGACTCCAGTTGTCCATTCTGGACCCCCACAATGGGTGGTATGCTGTGCGCGCGCGACTCAGAAGACTGGTTACGTTCCAAATCACCCGGTCACTATTTTGAGGATCTGGGGACCGGAACCACTTCAACATGCAACCCATTTGAGCCCCGGTGAGAACCTATTGGGTCCGCCGACAGCAAGTGTAAGAGGTTACGTTCCTATGGGGCTACCTCTAGGTTACACGTGGTCAGTGGGAGTCTTCAGCTGCTCGCGCATGGGGATACCAGAAGGTATGGGGGTCAGAAACCGAAAACTGGAGTCCAAGATCTCCTTCCATGGGTTCTGACACAAAGCCGGGTCTCCCAAGGGCATGCTACGCGCCGGCATGCGACCTAGCTTGCTTTCAACGTCAATCTGTAACGGGTTGGGAAACCTCGTATCATGGAAGACGCTCAGTATCTGCGGACGAAGCAGGCTCACTCGAAGAAAGCTGGCTTACGTGATAGACAGGACGCTTACTTTGACACCAGGAATGACCCGGCCCACTCAGCGAGGGGGGCCCCCGAGTAGATAAGCGCGTGCAGTGTCAAGAGAGTTAACAGCGTCTTGGACTCCCTGCAAGCATGGCAAGAACGCCCGACCTGAGCTGGCACGTCATTTGGCACAGGGTTCCAGAAACTGATCATCCAGGTGACTGCACTCCTAAGACAGGGGAAACTGTACGAGCCTTGTGACCCATCACAGATAGGCTGACCAATCTTTAACCATTGTTACGTACGGCTTTCGACTTTTTCAGAGCCATCAGCGAGAAGGGGGACGTCTCCATCGATCTTGCTCCACTGGACGGATGAGAAAAGAAGAAACGCTCCCGGCATGTAGATGTAGAACTATCACAAACGAGCGCAGCGTTGGCGCTAGTTACGTATCCCAACTGAAAGTAAGAGCCCAGATTGAACAAACGAACGGATCGAAGCGATCGAAATGAGGCCAATTGGCAGGGAGGGTTAGCCTGACCCGTGCTGTTCCTCCTCCCGCCTGACCATGTGGTTATCTAGGGGGTTCGGGGGAGCGCGGGTACGGAGCGTGTGTGACCTTTGGTTTAGCTTTCTGGTTACGTCGGGGGCTTAGGGTTTTCTGAGCTTAAGGTTCAATGGAGATTGGAAATTTGATTGCCTGACCAGTGGTGTTCCTCCTCATGCCAAACCATGTGAGTAGTTAGGGGGATAGGGGGGGTGCGGGTGTGGAGTGCGTGTGACCTTAGGTTTGGCTTTCTGGTTACGTCCGGGGCTAAGGTTTCCTGAGCTTGCTGTTCATTGGTGATCCAGAAAAGTGGAAGTGCTTACCCGTGCTCTTCCTCCTCCCGCCTAATCATGTGGCACCACTGCTCGGCGATCATTGGAACCACGAACATGAGGTGCGACCCGCTGTCCTCGATCGCCTGGAGGAGGCCCTCGGCGGAAGGCGCGGCCGCGAACTGCAATCCAGGGTTTCATGGGTTTAGGTTTGTAGGGTTTTGGGTTACCCATGGTTTTGGAACTTAAGGATAGTAGAGAAATGGAGGTTTGAGACGACGTAGGAATACGATGGGCCCACCAGGGGCAGTGTTTGCGGGTTAGGGACTAGGACTTTTTTGCGTGCTCAGCGGCCGCATCTGGACAACGAAGCTCTCGACGCTGCTGCAATTGCTCTGCAGACACGGCCGGTGAGAAGCGCGCGAAGGTTTGGTGCGAGCAAATATGCCGCTGGTGAAGCAAGCAGGGTCTTTGTGATCAGAGCGAGGCATCGCTTCCTGAGAGATTTTCAGATGTCGTCTGGGAATGACCCGAGAAAATACGAGCAACCTTTTACCAATGTCCCTAGGGCTGTGACTTTTGCGGAAGGCGTCAAACCTTTTGGCCTTTCTGAAAGAATCGCTCCTCTCCACACTCTATGAAAGACCGCGACTGGAGAGCTAAATTTCCGACCGTGGCTGGACATTTTGTGACGTCAGCAGACAGTGGACACCGGGATCCTGAAAACGTGGATCCATCAGCTTAAGAGGTAAGGCCTTAGGAAAAGGTCAGAAGCGTACAATGAAAGGGCCGCTATTAACGCACTTTGGCCGAGTAAGACGTCAGCAAACAAATGTGTCAGCCTCCTAGAACAGTCCAAGAGGAGGCTCAGGTCTTGACAGGAATCGAAAGCGTGGAGCAAGAGCCGGTTCAACGCACTTTGGCCGAGTAGTAGGGCGAGCCCGAATAGAGGGGCAGGCCGACTTCGGCAATGAACCCGAGCGCGTGGAAGAGGGGCATCCAGCCCAGCTGGATGGGCAAAGTGCCCGGGGGAGCGTACGGGGGGTCCAGATCCTGCGTGGAAAGAAAGGTACTTTATAGAAGGATAGCGTATGGAAATTGCACAGTAAGGGTCCCTTGGCGCCGAAAGAAAGAGGAAAAAAGAAGCACGGGAGGCGTTTGCAAGGCGGAAGCAACGATGTTGGCTGTTGGAAGAAGCGGAGCGGATGTAAGGACGTGTCCCAGGCCAGTCAACCCTACTTTCCAAAGAGGGTACAGATGCCGAGACGGACGCTGGATCTGATTCGGTCCGTTCGAAGGCCAAAAGCTTCCTTCTAAGAAAGGCCTTGCTAAGTGACAAGCTCTGAAAAAGGTCGCTCGAAACCCCGATCTGCTGTGAGGCGTAAGGTGGACCAGTACTGCCATCCGATATAATCAGGACCCTCTTATAAATTCAATTATAAATGACTGTTCAAGACTGGTTCCGTATACAGGAAAGGTCCTCTTGATAAAGCACATGCGCTCTGAAGGTTGACCCCGTTTTGAGAATCGATGCGACTGACCCTTCTTCAGATTAGCGCTGGACTACATCCTTCCTGCCAGCTGTACTCGAAGGTGGGTTGAAAAACCGGGTCCTGGTTTGGAGTAACTTACGTGCATCCTGCGTATCACCTCGACCAGGCTGTGGTGGTTATGGACGACCTGCTTGGGCAGCCCGGTGGTGCCTCCTGTGTGCAGAATGACCGCCGGAGCAAAGGCCTGAGGCGCGGAAGAAAGAAGTGTGAGAACGGAAAGGGGACTCCGACCCGGCGGACTCTGTAGGGACCCCCTTTCATAATTCCCCCTTGGATCCATAGTCAAAATCAGTACATCCGTCAATCCAGACCGTTGATCATAAGGAGTTATTGCTGCAAGGGGGTCTCTCAAGCTGGATCAAGCGTCCACGTTCTTCCTCCTTCCATTCTGTGAGCATCCGATCCCTTGTCCCCTATCCAATTTTCTGGGACGTCACTAGTTTGGGCTTCATCAGAGTGCGTCACAGTCCAGCGCCCTGTTCAAATCGCACCAGATATGGCTACAGGGTCTAAGATGCATGCCCCAAGATCGAATGTGATCGTTCGAACTACGAAGAAGAGATCGAACGTGACAACCGCAAGTCGATCCGTCCATTCTTTGGACACCACAGCAGGCATAATCCTATGTCAAGCTCGGCATAATCCTCTGACATCCTGTGACACTGAGTTGCAGAACGGGCCAGAAATTTGGCGCTAGCAGTCAAGTCTGCGAATGATCCGAAGCCTCATATGCACAGGTATCCAGAGGCAAGGGGCTCTCTTTGAAGACCACCCCAACACTTACACTGCTTCCCCAAACAACCACCACTGGCTTTTAGCCAACTATGTCGTGTAACACAATCTGCTGCATTTGCTTACCTCTGAATAGTCTCGATCGTCCACTTTTGCGGTGGCCACGTGGCCCTCCTTCGCACCGTTGCTTTGCGTTGAGTGGCCGTTCATCTTGCCATCCACTACTGTTCTGAACATCGGAGGCAGGACGTTCGCGCCAGAGGCAACCGCTCCTGCCAGCGCCCCCGTGTTCAGCCGCAGGAGCAACGGGCGGTCTTGGACATTGAGCGTCTGTAAAGTAACAAAGTGACGGTTTGACATGCACCGCGCGGTCGGGGCACAAGCAAACGCACGTCAGTTGCTGCCAGGACTGTTAGGACCCTTGCCTTTAAAAGCTTGCCTAAGGAGGCGCTAACCCGAGCGTCAAGAAGGGAATGCAAGATTGATATTGGAGGTTGTGTTCCTGAACCCGAACACAATGCAACTCCAATGATACTGCGTGGATTTCCAGGGAAGCTGCAATGAAAGATGTGATTATGGCTAACTTGAAATTCCCAAATAAATAGTCGTTCGAATGAGAACCGAAATGCTTTGCGGAGCTCACAAAGAAGATTAGGCCTTAACAACTGTGTCCGGTCAGTGTCTATGGTCTGAGGCCTCACTTTCACCACCCGCTTTGCCGCAGCCTCGCACTCCTGCGAGACCAGCAGCACCGAAGGGGCGGCCTGGGACACCAAATGCTGCAAGGGGGATGGCTGAAGTCAACAAAGGATCTGAAGAAGGGATTGGAAACAATGGAAGCCTTGGAGCCCACAGCCAAAGAGTCTTGAAAACCTGAAACCTCAGTGGGCCTGACTTTTGAATCAGTATTTTAGGACCTGCAACAACGTATTCAAAGCCTCAGGCTGAAATCGTTTGTTTCCGAAGATGGTCCAAAGCCCTTGGACTCCTACTTGACTTATCGATTTAAACACCCGCTACTCGTAAATGCAAACGCATGTGTGACGGGGCAGCACCTGCAGCGCCTCATCTCCGACGCGCGTCGAGAGGTTGACGGCCATCGCCCCCTGCAGCCACACCGCAAACGTGGCCACAACATACTCGGGGGAGTTGCTCGCCAAGATGGCCGTGCGGTTGCCCTTCCTGATGCGGCATGTGCCGCCCAAAGGTGTCGTCACTTCAACAAGTTGGGCCCGAGCCTGTCGCAGAAGAGGGCAGCGTATCAGCAAAGGCTACTAACACATTGATCAGACCAGAGGTTCTTCATTAAGCTGTGCCGTGCTGACAGAAGTAAAAGATGTTCTGACAGGAGACAGGGTTCGGCAGATGGGCAGATGACAAGAAGGGCTGGCGAGGCAAAAAGGGGTGGTATAATGTAGGTCACAGCATGTGACGGTTTGACTCTCCGGTTGGGGTGCATTCAGGAGTAGAGGGCAGCAATGCGGTACTACTGGAGCAGTTTCAAGAGCAATCAAAGGCAATGCTGTCTCTGACTCCAGGGTTGCTCCAACTCCCTTCAATGAAGAGAGCAAGGGTTTCAAGCCACTTCTGCGGGTTGCTCTGAGTAGCGTTACCTAGAATCTCACCTGGAAAGTCAGCTGCTGAAACTGGCTGAAAGTTACTTTGTCGTACTTGAGCGCACCGTCCGCTATCTGATCCTTCGGAATCTCATTGTTTTGAGGCTGCAAAATGAGTCAATAAGCATGGATAAGTTGGCGCAGTAAAGCAAAATCTGGCCCTAATTCTTCTGGCCTCAAACAGACATCGATACCAAAATCTGCATCCCATGCTGGACGGTCATGTTGATCATCCTGCTTGCATCAGCATTCTGTGCACGAACACTATGCTTCGATCAGCGGAAGATCCAAGCGGTTCCAGTACTGGTGAATGACCTTTTCAACAGCATTGACGTAGGTGACAAGAAACTGCCAGAGTATTTGCAAGTGAGCCAGCCCAATCTGGTCGTCAACGTAATCCTTACTCGGGGCAGCAGCAGAAAGGGCTGATCTCCTCTGTGCGCCGCTTGCAAGGCCAGCACCTTGGGGAGGGTCCTCGCAGCATGCCTGGGATCAGCCATGTTGACATGTCAATACGCGGTCAATCCAGAATGAGTTTCTCAGCCGAGCGAAGGCGGCTGGGTGTCCCTTTAGCTGGATTAATGAAGTCGCTGTTGCTGATGAAAGCTCATTGCTCGCACACCTGATCAGCTGGCCTGCAGCTTGCTGAGGAATATCTGGAGTATAGCAGCTGCCAGACACCTGTATGTGGCATAGGTGAACTTGAACTTGATGTAGGTACTTCCAACGCGATCCACCGCTGCGCAGATGTCCACAGCTTTGGAAAGTCGTTTGGGCGCATTGATGAGTGCCACACCAGGCGTCCTTGATACGCGTCACAGGGGTACGGTATCCTCAGGATAGTCCTGTCATGACCTCGGAAGCAACGTTTTCGGGAAAGACAGCGATCAATACCCTGGCCGGTAGACAACATCCCTTTCTTGGTTCGCTTACGCGCTCTTACAGACTTACATACCGTCCCTCCCTAATGCCAATGGACCCTGCGGGCCGCGGCCGACCACTGGCACCCCGCTCTCTCTCAACTTTCTTGTGAATCTTTTCTTGCCGCTTTTCTTGTGAAACAGCCAGAACAGGCAAGGAAAGACCGGTTATGCGCACCGGGCTGTACTCTGCTCAAGTCTTTTCTGCCCGGCCCAACAGCTATGATCTGACGGCTGAAAATGGCTTCGATTCAAGCACCGGAAGGCAATCGGACGGCTTCGGTGGTATCCGAAGTCGACCTTACGCGGGTGGATGGCATAAGCTATGTGCCGCACAAGAACCGGCAAGAACAGCTGCCACAAGAAAAAGTTGCCTGTCAAATTTTCTTGCGGCCGAAATGGACAGAATCGGCGAGAACTCGCAAGAAACCCGCGAGAAAAGATTACTCACAGATCAGCCGGAAAATGTAATAGGTGCGAAATTGCGACCGATATATCATATAACCCTCCCGGGAATTTGTCGTCACCAACGGTCTCGATCGATCGCATGCATCTCTATTAACTTCTGTCAGAGGATTTATTCCTGAGGATCATGTGCTATGTGTGTCAGAGAATGTGAATACCGTCAGTTTTCTTATTTACAATTTAGAGCTTTGTTGCGATGGTCACAAACTCCCTGATTCACACTCCCTTCTATTTACGATTCTTTCCTCCCGATAGAACGTACGGATATGCCGTACCATCTGGATGATGGCGCTGACGTCACCATAAGCTTCAAACCCTGCCATGGATTAATTGGGCGACATCACCGATACCCTCGATCTGGATTATTATTGAGGGGTGACGGCCCACTCCTCTCGGCCGCCGGCCGCCGGCGTACATAAACCCGGTGCATGCTCTTCTTGAACAATTAATTTGTTTTTGTCAATGATTGGATTCTGGCTACGTCATCCAATCGATTTCCACCTTCTTTGTGGTTGCTTTGACCCGTCTTTGACCCAAAACGCTTGCCCTGGTGGCTGGCCGATGGCACCAGATCAAAAGAATGATATTGTTAACATTAAAACCTGTTACTACAGCTTCTCCCGATCAACCTGCCAGTTTTAGTGTCATCTAGATTAGACAAATTTCACTCAACAACTGACTGCTTAATTTAGTCTAGAATTTTCACTAAAACTGGCAGGTTGCTCGAAAGAAGCTGTAAATTGTAGCATTGATTTTCACGTTTTGATCAGCTCGTTTTCTGGGGTACCGGAAGGTGCTTTTCAGAGTAGCGGCTCTTTGCCTCTGACTGACCTAGCTGGAGCTGCTTGAAGTGTGGATGAAATGGCAGTTTCACGAGACTCGTTTGTGACAACATGGACTCCCGGTCGGGGTGATACCGCAGTTTCACAGGCCGAGGGACTGACATGCCTAGCATGAAGGCGACGCAGACAGCCTCTCATTCGCCATTTAAATGTATTATATGGCTATAAATGGCTATACTTAATCTCCATATAATATGTCCATAGCCGTTACAACTTACAAGGAACGTGCTGACTAAGTGGAGCTACTTATATAGCAGTGGGCAAAGTCTAAGCAGGGACAGGTCTTGATCAGAAGCTCGTCCTATAAGGCCTCAGTTTGCTGCAGCTGCGATCAGTCATTCATCATTTATTTGCACTAAAATTTGACTGCCAGCTCAACCAGCGTCCAGCTGCTTGAGCTCCTCCCAGATGTCGACCAATTGTCCTACCTATTTCCCGGATGCACAAAGCGCCTTAGCGAGCTCGATCTGATCCTCGGCCTGCATCAAGTTAACAGCTGCGTCCGTTTTTACACCTTTGGGACTTATGGGACGGCTTTGGACTAGCAAAAGAAGCTGGGTTCCCCCCCCGCAGCTGAAATTCTCCATCGATTCTCAGACTGAAGAGGACCGAGATCAGCAGTAAAGGCACAGCGGTGCTTGCAGCATTGCTCAGATCACAACTCCGCGGAGCATCATCACAACAACTTCTCTCAGGTAATCGAGGCAAAAGCAAACTGGGATCTTACTGCGGCCACGAGGATTGAACTTGATGTCAACAGCTCTTGGATGTGTTTTTTTGCCAGTAAGTAAATCTGCTCTTTTTAGGTCACTAGTGAGGTACACCCGTGCAGGGGGTCATAATAGTTGGCCAACTGGATACAGTACTGCTTTTTCTTTGATTTTTCAAGTCTACCTCCTGAAAATCTGGAAGGTTTGCAGATATACCAGCAAGCGCTCGTGCTCCATATCTAAATGTAGGGTTTTGAGCCCACCAGGCAAGCAAATTTCTACGTTCGATGGCAATCTTCGAAGCGCATGTCAGGAGGACTGTGGACGTACTGTATGCTCCACACCTTCATCAACATGTATGTACCTGGGCTGAGTCTCACCTGCAGCTATCAGCCCGATCTTTGTTTGCTGAGATTCGTCAAGGCATTGTCAAAGACATCAGTCCAATCTCCATCAGAGTACTCAGACCTTCTTTCCACCTTCTGCCTGCAGGATCCTTAGCTCCGCAGCCAGCTCAGCACAGGTCCAATCATTATGAGGACCACGCTTTCTAGGGAAAGCTCTATGTGATATTCTGAGTTACAACAGCACATCAACCTGGTTGTAACATCCAGCCATCCTTGCTTCTCTCACTAGCGCACATCCTGCCCTCCGCTTAAAAAGCTCACTTCCCGGTTGCTTGCTGAATTGATTCGCAGTCAAGGTTAGTAGGCCACTTGCTTTGGCAACCCCAGACATTTTGAGTGCCTGCCCATGGTCAGTCAAAGAGCCACGGCGGTGGCTCAGCACTCAACATTCGGCTCCCTCAAAGCAGCGCCTCCTTGTCAGCATGCACCCAGCCAGCAGGCCAAGAGCGTTCCTAACCACAAGCGCAGCCTCTTACTTCTTTCCAGCTTCGCCGCTCTAGTCCAAGCACCGCTTGCTCCCGATTCGAGATCATGGCACCAACACACGGATCCACTCCCAGAGCAAGGAGTCATGCAAGACCAGTTCCGTGGGGTATTGGGAGCTGCCGGACCGATCCGCAACACCGCGATGTTATCTTCTCAGCAAGAGTTGCAATCAAGGAGGAGAGCATCAGGTAAGGGGTTCCTCTGGTTTGTGCGGAGATTCTTCCTGTCAGATCAAGGTGAGGGGCCGGGGGCCAAATGTGCAATACAGATGTTGGACATAGAACCTGTGCTTGGTAGTGAGAGAACGGCTGCTTCTTAGAATGACCAAATGTGGCGTACATTTTGCACCCACTGGAATTCAGATCTTAGCAAGTGAACACCAATGGAGAATCAAGACAACGCCAGTAAGGCAGCGGATGTCAAGCACATGGTTGCTGATTAGCCAGCTGGACACAAGCAGGACCGGAGTTCGTCCAGTATGATGGAGTCGTGTGTTCGGAAAGGTACATTATCGGCAGCGCTTGTTCTTTCAACATTCTTACTTCTGTCTCTTCCCTAGTTGTGCCTTGAACATGTAAGCTCTTGATCAAAAGCTAACAGGAATGTTCGAGCAGACCATCATCTGCACAAGAATCATCGGGACTTAGCTTCTGAGCATATTGAGCACTGATCTTAGTAACGCCACTTCCGCAACTATGTGGTTGGTACAAAGCGAACTCACGATACGCTTGGATTGCCAAGACGCACGCAGGCCGCCTGAACTTTGTCCATCCTTTTTCTCTGCCGTGTGCAGAGCTTCAACTCTCCGATTTGAGGCCCCTTCAGCCTCTGCTGGACCCTCACGCTCTCGCAACCGCAAGCTGGCACGCAGTCGAGCCATTATATGAGGTAAGCACTTGCGTCATGCTGTACTCTACTCACAAACTTCCTAAACTACTCTCGCTCGAGTTACACCCTTCTGTCTTCAGATGCAAGCAGACCCGTGACCAGAATACCAAGCACCAAGCTCAAACGCTTTCGTGTCTCGTCAGGGCGTTTCTGATCAGGACGTTTCTGCCTGAACTCTCGAAGGTCCTGATACTAGTTCGAAGAAAGTCAAGCCGAGTGCTTATCGTGCAGTCGAGTGTTCATTCTGCGGGGTGCATATCCACCCCCCTCCCCTCACCTCTGTTACTGCCGTTCCTCTCATGTAAACAACCGGCGCGTATGGTTCAGCAGATCCGCCCCCGAGTGCACATCCAAGAACGCGCCAGTGTTTGTGGGCAGCGGCAACAGGGCTGTGCGCACTGATTCGCCCACCTTTTTCCAACTCAAAGATCGCCTTCTTCTTCTGCGCTTTTCCATCTACACAAAGAGTCAACTTCGCCCAGGCTTTCAAGAACGCGCCAACGACTGCTTGAAAGAAAGCGTGCTAAACCCGATCGGTTCTCCGAGACCAGATGATCACCTTGCCGCTTCTCGACACGTTTCTATGTACCAGCTGATACTCCACCCCACCCGCAGTTCCCTTTCAGAATTGCCCTGGCGTCTGCATGAGCGACAACGTGTTCGGCCCCGCCTCTTTTTCAAGGGTTCTAGGTTTTCAATGCATGATTCAACGATTACCTTCCGCTTTCCGGCCCACTCTCGTCTACTACCTGACAATGAACCCCGCCTTGTTTTCCTTCCCGAAGCGCGCCAACATCCGCATGACGAGAACGTGCTACTTCTGTCCGCTTACGTCCAACTCAAAAAGTCGCCTTCCGCGTTTCCGCGCCTCTTTTATTTCAGCCAACCCCGCCCACAATCTGCTTCCAGGAAGGCGCCGACATCTGCATGGACGACACCGCGCTACTCTTGTCCGCCTATCTTCGACTTATTGACTTTTTTGTTATTACAACATGGTCAACGATCAGTTAGCAGAAGAAAGTCCTGATATGTCGAAACCACGCCCACGTTGTAACGGTACGGAAGCGGACCGCCTTAGCCGCTCGGCTATGCATCCAAAAAGCTGTCGACTGGATGCACACTAAGGCGCTTCCGTAATTTATATATCGATTTCGCGTCGGCCGTCCGCGCGTCGCGGCCGGGTTATCGCATCGATTTTCGTTCCGCTTCGGACCGTATACGGGTTCACGCGTTTCACCGCTAACCCGCCGTTACACACCGTCGTTCTCCTTCTAGGAGCACGCCGACACCTGCATGAGCGACAACAGCTTGCGCGCGCTGCTCCCCCCGGCGTGGCACATGATGCTTCTGAGCGACGGTTCCGTTACGCGCCACCTGCAGCTGCTGACCGGAACCAAGACCGCGGCGGACTGCTTCGAGATGAGACACGTGGGCCACTCGACGCAGGGTCTGCCCGCGGGGACGGAACTCATCGAGGGGCCCCGGGTTCAGCGACAGGTGAGCGGAACGGAATGTCCATGTTCACCGGAGGGAACGACACGGGTTGCAACACGATCGAAAGTCTCCGTGTTGGATAGGGACAGTGTCTCAGGGTCCATCACAGACGTAATTTTGCCAATCCTTTAAAAGGGACAAGTCCCACACGGCGACAAGATGCTCGGGAACGTACCTTTGCAGTCGCTTGCAAAAGCCACGTGAGCAGAGTTCGCAGCGGCGAGCAGTCGTTACCCCAAGATCCGGATGTTGCCGCAAGCCACATGATCGGGTAGACGCCCTCTTTAAGCGGGTTCGCATTTCAATGAAGGGCATCTGAGTGATAATCAGTAAATCCTGCTTGCTCCCTGTGGCTGAAGGCGCCGACACAACAGGCTTCCCGGTTAGGATCTGGGACGGCAGTTCAACCGGGGATTCCGCAGCGAGCACTTTGAAGCGCATCTGT